ACTACTATTATAATTAGCATGTCCAACTACTTTAATAACTTTCGAGAGTGTTGCAAATGCTCGTTAAATAGATCGGAAGTATCGCTTACTGTTGTATCATGTTGATAGGACTTTGGCGTATCCTTAACAAATCGGCCGAAGGCGAAATACCAACATAGTGCCAAAAGAACCAGACCGTAACACAAAGAATCGCGACCGAACGTTCGCACCACCGCGGTGCCCAGCCATCCAGTGAGACAGTAACCTACGCTGACGGCTTAAAGCATGGGAATTAGGATTAGTTGAATAATTCAGATCATGTAGATTGGTAACACTCATTGTGAAGTATATTTTTAAAGATATCCTAGAAATTGATGAGCACGCTGTCGTAAAACAACGATGCGCAATCTGTGGCCCTGTGAATTTTTTTAATCCGCCAACACATAGTCGATAAAACATAAAGTTATATTTTATACAAACGAAATAAATGTTATGTAGCCCGAAAGATTTTACCTATTTCTAAAAATGGCTTTCTGAAAGTGATTCTTAAAAAGGGTTGCGCATCTCTACTGTCGTAGAGAATATATAAATATACAAATATGTTTTTACTAGAAAACATTATAATAATGAATGACTCCGAAGGTTCATTGTTCTTTTTACTTATCATAAACGGTTGTAATCGCAATCACCGACATACCTGCGTAACAACTGAAGTACCAGCTTCTGTGATTGCTCTTAAACCAGGTCATAGCGAACATGTGAGCAGCGGGCATGGTTGCGCCCTGCAAAAGAGGATGTCGTAATGATTCTCGCGCGAATGTTTTATGTCTGCGCCGTGTTTTACTGCGCTACGCAAAATCGAGTTCACGTCATTGCGAAGCGTCTCTCGTAGAAACGGTGGTAATAAAGTCTGCGCGCCGACTTACGGTGCATAATCCTTGAAATAACCGAAGCGCAACATGCGACGGTCCGCGCCAAGCTGCAGGTACTAATAGAGACGCTAAGCAGGCGCTAAGAACCGCACGTGAGAACACCATGGAGGGCCCTGATCGGCCCCATACCAGGCAACCTCCCAAGATCGGACCGGCGACTTGTCCCCATAAGAACGCCTCACGCATAATCGATTCTGCTCGCTCCTCCTGTGGCAGCTGTCGTTCATAACATGGATTACAAATGTCATTCTGCAACGTAGCGTTGCAAAGCGTAACTGTTCTCTAGTATGACATGTACATTTACTTCTTGGAATAGTTTGAAAAGATAGTTTAAATTAATCATTAACTATTAATGCAGAACAAAGCGCTCTCACAGTATTAATCTCGCTTAGTTTACTTTCGTACTAATGAATAAAAATTTGTTAGAGACAAATAAAAATGGGGAGTATCCCACATTTAGTAATGAAATAATATAAGGCAAAACATTTATAAGTGTATATATACACCTCCATGAATATAATTTCGAAGTCCTCGGTGCGATTGCGGCTGGTAATATTGACCAGCATATCGCAGTGCCAAGATGTGTCGATGATGGCATGATTGTCTTTCTGATTCGCCAGTAGTGCGACGGAGGAGCTAACCTCGACTGCGCCGCAAAGCGCAAATCCAACAGCGACTAGCCCGGCGACAATGTGTCGCGCTCGTACAGCCGCTAACAAATAACAATGTAATAACATGATAATCGTAATAGTCGCGACTAATGTGACCAAATTACAGATAAAAAAAATTACTAAGAACTCGCAAATAAAATAAAGATTAAATAAAGATCAATAAAGGATCAAATAAAAATTATGAAAAGATTAATCAAATCGCGTCGTTGATCTTGTGAATATTTTAGTAATATCAAATTGTAAAGATCAGTAAAAAGTCACAAAAAAAACCCAAACAATTTTTTATTTGCTATCGAGGGAATAATTGTATTTAAATTTATTGAATAGAATGGTAAAAATATGAATTATTAATTATATTGCCCAGAGAGCTAAGTTTTCATATTTTTCACAAAATTTCTATCATTCAATTTAGAGATATAATAGTAACAAAAGAAATTTTTATGTGTGTATAGATGTGTACGTACATCCATTATCATAGTCTCCAAACGTTGGAGCACAGCAATGTTTGATTTTGATAACTTACTCAAACGACTGGTACGATAATATCTGCGTACAAATTCTAAATTTAAAAGGCACTTGTGTTGATTGGCTTTTTATATGTAAAAATAATATTTGTAAAATTACGAAACACGAACATTAATCATAACATTTCGATAATATTAGATTAAATAGATTTTTATATAAATTTGTATATCATCGTCAATATGTAACTATAAAACGCAACTTCCAAAACAATCTCGATCCCTTTATTAATTTGTTATAATATAAATAATTAATTACAAAACATTAAATAAAAAGTAGATTAGTAGATAATAAATGAATATATAACATGGATGAAGTTACTTATAAAATTTGGCCGCGCGACAACGCGAAATAAAATTAGATCTCACGCCCGCGATGTAAGAAATAAAATTAGTTACAGTGATTAGAATTTTGACGAACCTCGAACCTCTTGCGCAGCGAGTTTTAGTTGACAACTGCCACGTTTAACGAACTGCACGCTACCTCTCTTGACGAAGTCTGCCATCTCACAGAACCCAAAAATAATGAGATCGACCGCGACATCTCGCTCTTATCACGCCCCAGTGTTTGATTCTTCGCGCACTATCTCTCCACTACTCCGAGTATACAGGTGACCTCGACTTTGGCTCGGCAATGATGCAATGCAAATAGCTGACTTTTTGACAAGACAATGAACGCGTAACGCTATTAATTCAATAGTGTTAAGCTAAGAAATAGTGATTTTAATGCTTCTGTTGATCCTAATGCTTATTTCGTTTCACGCGAATTACAAATAAATATGTAACTGGACTGAATAATAACGCCACTAATAAGTGTAGGATGTTATCACCAAATTAATAATTTATAACTAAAATTTTTCCATATTGAAAATTAAATGTATACCTAGTGATCCTAAGATTTTCAATATGGAAAAATTAATTTCACATTAATCGAAGAAACTGACATTACATACGTCATTTCACGATATATTGTATGAATAATTAATAAGTTCTCCACTTCCTTTAACTCGACAGACGTGAAATATTTGCGTCGCAAATCGTTTATTAATCTACGTGCAATCGCAGCGCAATAATAACTCATTAAGAATTCCGGAAACCCGTTACCAAGGGAAGTCGATTGAGGGCACAGCATACCTTTGACCTCGAGTGCCGCGTGTCTCAACTGGACGCTACCGCGTTTAAGACGAACCAGCGCTGCCATCGTCGTCAAATGTGCTGATACACCAATTGCGTTTCCATGATATAGGATCGATACTTTAGGCACATATCATCGACAAGTCCGTTGATCTTTTCGACCACTTTGCTACCGCGCGATACGAGGTTGATGGGACGCGACAGCGGCGATGAGTTACGCGAGCCATACTGGTCATCTGGCCGGTGCGAGTGAATGAACATCTCCGTTAACGAGACTTGATACAATAAGTACCTATGCCGGATCAGCCTTGAAGCACCGCGCGCGAGGTCCGCCTCGTAATATTTTCCCCACGTCGGAGTCGCCAAGCGATATATTAAACCTCATCACTGATAAAGATCTTCAAACGCAATAGATGGTTTTTTTCCTGGCTTTATCGCAATGATCATAACACGTGATTTAATAATAAGTATTATCGAATAATTAATTGCAGTAATTATTATGCACGCCATTGTGATGGTCATGGAGCAAAAAGCGTTTCAGGATTCTATTATTGATAAATTTAAAAAATATAAGATTTACATCTCTCAATCTGTCAATAAATAAAATTATATGCCATAGTCTTATAATAATGATAAATACGTCAAAATTGCATTTTATTTTTTCAAGAGTCATTGATAAAAAAAATTTTGTAAATATCTCTATAATATAAACACAAAACGTGCTGTATATTTTGCCTGCTTTCAGAATATAAAGATTTCAACTCTTAATCTATGCTACTTCGTGCACATCACATGCATGTGTAATTAATGTAATTTAATTATTAATGTAAAAAAAAAACTATCAGTAAGTGGCAACAAAGGAAACTTCATCAATAGTATCAACTACAAATATTCGACTTTGTAAACCTATAATATTAAAACATTCTTCATTCCATGATGATTCAGAACGTTGAATCATCTACCATCCGTCGTTCATGGATGTAGTTCTATATTACCAACGACCAATCAATATAGACTGACTGTCGTTCAAGCAAATTTGGAGCACTAATCTTGTCCTAAAGTTTCAATAGGACATTTGGATTCTATAGGTAAATGTGAACCTCTCTAAACATTTCATTCGACAATGCTTCGAAATATCGAATGATTCACTGTTTCTTGTGAATAGACGAGACTCTACGTTACCAACAACCAAATATAGTCGGCAAGCTATTATTCAAACAAAACTTGAAATCTGTTACGGGTTGATCTTGTCTCAGGTTCCAGCAGGTCGCGCGGCAGGTGGTTGGGTCCCTTCTCCTGCGCCTACCACCAGCAGGGAGTCAGGGACTGTTGGGACAGCGGGATGCCACCTGCGCGATGATTGGTCAGTTTGCAGGCAGGTCAAAACGGCAACACATCGCTCGGTCGGCGTCTGTCACACTTATCTGCCGCTTCGAAACGGAGCGCGCGATCCTTGCAGCATTTTTCGTGTCTTATCCGCGACGATCAGTACGCACACGTGTAATAGGTCGTTCGTTTACAACGACGTAGTGTATAATTTCGAAAAATAGGGGAACACGACCGACGTGGTAACCCAAACAAGATCGAGTTAGAATCAGTGTTCCGAGTTCTGGAGTCGCGCCTGAACCAAGTATTGCTTTTCAAACGAACGCAAGATGATGCAGCGCGCAAGGCGCCCGGGTGTTTTGACATTTGCGACATATACTTATATTTTATTACTGTGATATCAACGATAGTGCTTTGGGATATCCGCAAACGATAGTAGTCGTCGACGGTGAATGACGAGGGAAGTATCATATGAGAGCAGCGCGGCACAAACGAGCAACGAGGTAAGTGGACTCCGTTTTGGTTGCGTTTTGACCGTTTGCTTTGAGAGGTTAAGTTGGGTGCCCTGCTGGGGTCCCGCGATACCACCTCCCCCAATCCATTCCCGCCTCCTCTCCAGCTCCTTCGCTAGCTGCGAATGGTCTGACGCGGACAATACGGCCCTCCGGAGCAACCAGCGAGAAGGGCACCCGGGTCCATTCCGACCAAAAGGTCCTTTGAATGGAATGCGTGCCGGTGTATCTCCTTCATCCCCGCTCCTTCTTCTCTATCTACTCATCCAGATCCTTGTTCATCTCGCATTCCCATCCATTTCACTCTCACCGTCGTTCTGCAGTTATTTTACATTTCCGACTTCTTTAGTCTATTTTCGAACTAGATTTGATGCTGATGCAGGAAGACTCGCAATTAATAATGACTCCTCCTTTGTTTCATCAATGTTATCCTATGTATCATGAAAATGATTCCCACTATCTGCTGCGATACAATTAGAATTACTCTCATCATTACTAATCTTCGCTATCGCTACAATTCCCCTTATTGTACTCACTTTGATAATTACGCAGCAGATATTATCTATTTTCGCTTTATCTTAGATCACTCTCTACTTATCGTAAAAATTGATTGCGATACGAGTAAAGTTATTATTATGACTGTACACCAATGTATTTTATTGGTGGATCATATTTAAAGAACTTATATACTAAACCATAATAAAATTTCTCTTTTCCCTATCTCTTCCCGTCCTTTTTCTCCTCTCTCCTTCTCCCGCGACCTTCCCTCTGGAATGTGCTTCTCGAGGGTCCAGGCATGTTTCTGATCGTAGGATCATCCACAACAGGTCCCTGGCTTTCGAATTTCTTTTCCTGTCACTTAGAAATACGAGCGGTTTCGTGCTCGTGCCATGCCGGTTTTCGATTTTCAAAAATATCAATAGTCTCGATAGCGACTGTAAAAATCAGACGAGTTTATCCACCGTATCAAGCAATAATAAAATTCCAAGAAATTTGCGAATTTCCTGTGTCGGTTTATATTAGAACTCTATAAGTACTGTTACTTATTCTTGTGAACGTATTCATATGATAATTTCTTGAAACTTAATTGCCATTCATTGAAATAAGTTGGAACTTCATCAAGTCATGTTTCTACTTTGAAATGTATTAAGAAAAAAACACAATAATATTTTAAAATTAACATTATGAAAAATATTTTCAAAATGCGATAATATCGTTAGAATGAATTTATTAATTTCTTAATATTACGATCTTATTATGTTAATCGATGACAAATTCAAAATGTACTGTTAATTGACATCTACAAACTGGACTAATTCTGAGTTACTAGTTCTTTTTACGATATTTTTATCTACATATAGCCTATTCTGTAATAAATACTTTTCTCTTTTAGACTTATAATCTCTCCTTCCTAGTATCATAAATAATCCACAATATAAATCTAAATTTAAATATTAAAATTTCATATTATGAAATATATTGTAATAAAAGATATTTCAATCTTCTTTATATCCATCTTATCCATTTACACAACGAATGAAAAAATTATATTAAATATGGTAAATTGCTAAGCAATTCAATTTGTAATATTACTGCCGTAGTTCAATCGGTTTGCGTCTCGAGATCGAAAAATAAATTTGGATTAATAAGAAATAAGTTAACAATTTACGGCTAGTATAAATAATTCTTTAGACAATTGAAAAATACAGGCAATGAAAATAATGAATGAACAGATTTCAACTTATCAAAAACCGTGTATTCTGATATATATGGTTTCTGATGGGTTGAAACCTGTTCCTGTACTTTTCAATTGTGTCTTAGGCTTTAATCTACGCGACAGAGTCGTCGCAGCGGATCCGGGCGAGGTAACCGGAGCAGTTTCGGCACGCGGTACCTGCATGCGCGTCATATGTATGTACGTGACGTTGTCAAACGTGCTTTGAAAATCACGCACAAATACCGTTGCACTTAAGGTCGTTCACTTACCTATCTACCGAGTGCGATTCAGCGCAGGAGTAGTAGCTACCGGTGTTTTGTGCGCGACACGAATCGCAGAAGAAAATGAATGTGTGTCTTTCCGGTGCGTGTCATATTACGACGGCTCTCTTGCTCGCCGGACAATGACATTTTGGTCAAAGCTCGTTTTTACGACGATCTCAAGAAGCGAAGAAGCTGAAGTTTAAAGCGGAGTTGTATTAATTATGAGAATCTGACACGATTCTGCGATCTAATCTTTACGTGGCATCTTGATTCAATTGTTGATCGTCACGTTGTAGACGCGTACGTGCTTCAAGAGAATACCGTTGCTACCAGTGATTCGATTTGAACGCAAATGTTTAGAAAATTGTGTCATTATATCGCGCATAATCTGTTTTCTTCATAAAACAAAAAAGTTATGACCCAAATAATACTTCTAATAATACTTGCTTTCTTCGCTGCTTGAAATAATAATACACCTCTAACGGAAGAAGAAATCGACTTCTGTCCTCAAATATTAAGAAATAGAAAACTTCTTAGAAACAATTATGAATCTATTATATTATGATAAAATTAATAATATTTATTCACGATTTCTGTAATGTCAAAGTTTCGGTATTTATAAATAATGTAATTATACACACACAAAAAAATAATTAACAATAGCATGTGATTAAAAATAATCTTGTTTATTTCTAATAACACACACAGTATTAATGAAACAACATTTTAAACAGGACCATGGTGCATTTTTTCATTAATAATGTTACTAAATTAACAAAATTATTTTCAATTAGACTGTCGGTTAATGCTATTAATACATTATTCTTTTCATATGTATAAGAATTACGACCAATTTATTATGAAAATTATATAAATATTGTATCTTAAAGAATCTTGCAGAAATTTACTGAAAAAAATCGCCATCTTTTTCGCATAGGAATTACGTGTTGCGTAGCGAATTACATAACTCTAATGTGCGAACGGTTTAAAAAAACAAGTATTGCAGATATCGCTCCTTGAATACGTGTTTATCGGTTACGTACGAAAATGTCAGAAGACACGACCTTGCACGTACACAGACTCCACTTGTCACGTAAATTAATTCCGCATAGTTTCAATTGCCGGCATCAAACGAAGTGAAACGCGCTCTCGAGTTAGCATTATTCGTAGGTGTAAATCGCGTCACACCCCAAATCGCTCGCACGTGATATTACCGCGAGATCCAATTAACCACGCTGATGCTTGTAACCAATGCTGATAATCTTCATTAGAAAATCCATTATGAAGCAGGATACGCGGCACGCGAAGAAGAAGAACGCGATGGCGCAAAAGTGAAACTAGATTTTCTCTGATGCTTATTCAATTTGCGCTTCGCGGTTCATTTGCGTATTTCTCTTAATTGCTTCGAAATTTCGCTCCACCTCACCAAACGCTGCAAAGCTTGAAAATGGCGAGAAGATTAAGAATTCCGGACTACTTTCTTCTTTCTGAAACTGAGAAAGTAGGGTCATGATGTCGGAGTCTCCCTTGAGGCGTTTATTATGTGTAATTGTTTTGAGAAAATCGCGCTGCTTGTGACACATTATATATAAGAATATATCTCCAGCATGTACATTATTTTCAAGAGAAGTGTACTTTCTCACACCGACGTTTCAATTAAATAAAATTTCTTTATTTATATGAAAAGAAAGAGATTTAGATCTAGATAAATTTTATTCTTGACTCTGGCATAAAAATTTCCAAGAAATTAATCTTTCAAAAAGAATTCATTATACATAGTAAAAAACATTATATTTCGTACTTATTAACAATTTGTGTTAATTTTTAACACATTCGAATGTTAATTTAATTTAACATGATTATACTATTTAAAGAGTTTGTGTTAAATTGATATTCAACATTTTTTAGTGTCAAAACAATACTATTTATGAGTAAGTGAACAAATAACTTAAAAATAAAGTGTTTTGAAATGTTAAGATAAGTGAATAAAATATGGATTATATATATATAATTTAACCTCTATCATAAATGTTAATTTTACTGAAAAAAATATGCTTTCGGTTTTTGTGTCGATAATATATTTGTGTAATCTTCTAAGATATTCATTTTGTTTTCAAAAATTTGAGTGGATGTACGGTTTATGTTAAATTCAACAAATTTTTTCCAACGGTGCAATATAGTGTACACGCATGGAAGGAATAATTATTGAAGTATCTAAACATTTTACCGCGAATAAAATATTGTTAGACTATTAATTAAAATAATCATGTAGAATCTCAAGTACGATGCACAATATTGTCAAAATTTTAAATATTCGAACAACCAATTTAAACGTCCTACATAATTTTGAGCCCAACAAAATCATTTCAAATCTAGCTATAATAAATTTTCTTCAGAAAAGTTATTTCAGAAAATTGCCCTTTTGTGTATAATTGTCATAAACTAAAATCTTAATTTCTGGAATCTCTCTCTCTCTCTGCAGACACATGTATTTCGCATATCAGTATATTTAAACAGTAAATAGTAAGATAGCAAATTTTTAATATCAAACATATAGTGCCTAAATAATGCGATTAATAAGATTCGACTCGTCTGTTCCTTTCTCAGCCACCCGTCTATCAGTACTGGATAGTGCTCTCCGGAAGCAGATCGAGATATCTGCATGCTATCGCCCGCATTATAATTTTTGCGATGCAAGAGAGAAGCAGAAAAAGAGTGTAGTGCCAAATCAGGGCGCGCGCGGAAAGTCGTTACGAGAAATCGACGGCTACTGTAACGAGGCCATTGCCGGTGTATTTTCTCAATTACATAGGAAATTATCCTGCGACCGCTTCTCTCGTTATCATTTTTTTTTCTCGTTTCCGCGCGAGGAAATGTCGCGTCGTTACGGTACGTAAAAAGACATATATATTTTTTTAGAACCATTCCAAGCAAAATGACTTAATAGACGGTCATATTTCCAAACATAATTTTTCTGATTCGAGAATTTCACCGAATTTAAGTGTATTTGC